GCATAAATATGGGGATCCCAAAGATTCCCTCCTGATAAGGTGGTGCAACTCCGACAAAACAATCTATCATCATCAGTTTTTTTTTTTTTTTTGGGGGGGGAGGGGGGGGGGGTTGCTTCGCCGCTCTGTCTTTCGTTGTTGTGTTCTTTTGTCAGGTCAGCGGTTGTACTTCGTTCCTTTTCACTCGTTGCCTAGTGCTGTTCGTCTGCCCACCTGTGCCCCCCCGTGTGCCTTGCAGCCACTAGTCATTCACTGCCTTGATGCCTGGCCGCCTTCTGCTGCAATGTGTGTTACCTTGCCTTCTGCCGTCACAGCCTTATTTCCCCACTTGCCTGGTTGGTTGGCTGTCCGCTGCCTTGCTGCTTTTTGCCTTGCTGCCTTTGCCCTGCTGCTTTTGGATCACAGCCTGCCTTGTGGCCTGGCACCCGGGGGCTCTAGTCCTTTTGCCTTTTCAGGATTGGTGTAAGATTGAGGCCGCTGCACTCGCTTAAGAGGAAAGGGACTGGCTACCCGGCCATGGAGCACAAGTAGGCCGTGTGCACATGGTAGACCAAGCGCAAGTGCTTATCGAATGTTTTGCTGCCACGGGAAAGGGCCAGCTACGAGGGAGCCGACAACCTTTTATCTGGAAAGACAGAAGGGAGGTCTATCGCATTAGAGTGTTAGAAGAAGAGGGGTTGGAGGGCTTATCGGCCAATGACCCCGGCTGAGAACCTCCCCTTCGGTCCCGATGAGTGGCGATGGTCGTGGAAAGGCCAGACAGCTGAAAAGGGGGGGGAAGGCAAGACCGGTAGTGCTAGCCACCCTAAAGACTAAGACAGTATACCGAATGCTCAAGACCAAGGCGCAGGCTGGAAGATGTGGTAGAAGACAGATGGCAATGCCATCTCAAAATAGACAGAGGCCTGCTCAAGCCCATCCAATGGTTCAGAGAAAATAGGAAGAGGCCGGCCAAAATCTCTGCCCTGTAGTGACACATTGCCCACCGGTGCCTGCCAACCAACGACTGGCTGATTGACCACACGCAGTTGGAACAGCAGGGAAGGGCGCTTCCTTGGTGCCGAAGATGCCCCCAAAACTTTCCCCGGCAAAAGCACCCCAAGACAGTGGAACACATCTTCCTTTAGTGGCCCGCAGCTGTATTAGTGTGGCGATGGTGGGACAGGATTTGGCGGCATATTGTACTGGGCTTGTCATGGCCATGGGACCGGAGGGCCATACTATTGGGACACTGCCCCCAATTTCGAGGAAACACTTTTGAGGAGAACATGTACTGCCTGGGTAGGCATTCCATCCTGTGGGTAATATGGTGGAGAAAATGAAAAGGAATTGGAGGTGGCCAGGGTGGAAGATGGGAGCAACTACGGCTACTAGTACAGCACGAGATCACGACCCAATGGCAGGCTGTTAAGGAAAAACTGAGCCTGGCACATGCCAGGGTGGACATCGACAGAATAATCTCCCAGTTTTGCGAGGAATGGCTGGGAGGGAAACGGGGGGGCTCGGTGGCAAAAGTGAGCTGGACAGGAGACAGGCACGATCAGCGACAGGGCCTGCAACAGGAACATCAACCGGAGCATCAACGGGAAGAGGGGACGGGGTCGCAAGGGGGCCAAAGGGTAGAGTTGGAAAGGGATTCTTCGCTGCATTTCCATGAATGGACAAGGGTGGATCCCAGGGAACCATTACGCCCTGCTCAGGAATTCACTGAGCCCCTTTCCCCCCCATCCGCTGGCCCTGGATACCTTTGGGACAGTACCTGATCATCTAAGTACTACCGGTCTCGGCTGCTCATCTGCTCCCGAGCATTTTCCTAGCACAGGGTTTACAACTACAGTCAATTGTTGATGATCGGAAGCGGGGATACAGCCACGAGTCCCGGTGCCCCATGGGGCCAAGATGGCAATCTGTTCTTTCCTCCCAGGCTACCGCCGGCATAGTTCCTCTTAAAGAAATAAGCCCTGCACAGTCAATCCCCTGAGACCCAGTGCAATCAATGATCGGTGCAATCAATGATCGCAGGGCCCCAAGAGTTCCAAGAAAATGATGTCATACAAGAATAGATGTATTCATGGGACGCTGGACCCGGTTTCCAGCAGGTGATGCTCCCCATAGATGGAGCGGCCCACCGGGCAAAGCCTCAATTCTGGTGGTTCTCCTACCACCACTGGGATAGAGGCCTTACACAAGGGCCTTAAGAGGTTGCTGCATGCATATTATTTTCATTTCCCGTGTCTGGGGTGCATGTGGCTTCTATGTTCATCACACAAAGATGATAGTCTAATGTCCTGGTATGATTTTTAATCGCATTGTTAAAATGCAGCTCTCCACAATCAGCATCATTGTGGTCTTCTCTCTCATCAAAAACACACGTGGCCACACACAACAAAATAAACAAAAAGGAAGAGTTCAGCTTAAAAAAGGATCTCTCTCTCTCTCTCTCTCTCTCTCTCTCTCTCTCTCTCTCTCTCTCTCTCTCTCTCTCTCTCTCTCTCTCTCT